CTCTTTCTTCATCGTCTCCCCGGTTCTCCATCGTTACTATTTCGCATTTGCTTCTTCCAGAAAAGCACCACCGGCCTGCCTCCGCCTCTACTGTGATGGATGAAAGGGGCTGCTCCGGTAGCGGATCGCGAAGGGGAGGAGGGAAAAATTGGTGGTCCCGTGGTGGTTCTGTGATGTTCAATCGAAGAAAAAGAAAACAAAATCAGCAACAGTAAGGGTCGGATGGAGGCTCGCCACAATCAGTTAGGTCATCGGTCCTTCTTCTCCATTTCGTTGGTTCCAAACAAAAACGAGAGAGTGAGATCAGTACAGTAGCCGTAAGGGGGGAGGGGGTGGTTTCTTTGAGTTCACAGAGGTGTTTCGATTGTTGTTCAAATCGACAGGCACGATGGAGGAAAAAGAGAGAGGTTGGGCAGGTGCGTCAATGGGGTCTGCTCCGGCAGCTCCCCTGATCCTCTTCTTCTTTTTCTTTTTGTTGTTTTTTTTTATTTCAACAGAAATGGAACAAAATGGATTGTTTGGATTTGTTTGTGACAGAATTTGATAGGGTTGTTGTTTGACTAGGAAAAGCAGGAAACAGATGAGGAAATGTTTGGGATTGTGCTTCTTCAACGATTCATAGGGGTGATTGTGTCGTTTGTTTGATACGTTAAGTTTTTTATTTAAAGCTTATCTGATTTCATAGAAATTACTTTTTTTTGATATTTTTTTCTGCAGGTATATATTTTTCTACCTTTGTTGTAGATGTTGCCCCATCAAATCATCAAAATTGGAATTGTACGGTATGTAAGTTTCCTCATGAACAAAAAAATCTCTCTTTTTTTTGCTTTTTTTTACTGATGATGAACACAACACATATTGCTTCCTTCTTGAACAGATGATCATAAAAGCTTTTACAGCTGTTCTAGCTGTGATTCTTCAAGCCTTTGATGTATATTGTGAAGGTGAATTCAAATTGGGTTGTGTTAAACTTATTTTAATTTATTGACAGGTTTTACAGGTATGAGGTCCATAAAATGGCAGGCATGACCTCACATCGAACTATTCTTAAACCGGTTAACTGAATGCAACTTCAGACCTATGTGTGATGTTTAGGTGTTTTAATGTGAGAGCATATTTTTGACCTATTAAGGTTATTAGCTAATTTCTTATATCTAATTCGTTGTTCTGTACATATCTTACTCCATTTAGACATCATTTTACAACAAGTTATTCGTCTGACTTATTCTCTTTACAGATTTAGTGCAGGGGAATGGCCTCTTTGTGTTGCAGGTTATGGATTTTATGTACATTGATCAGGTAGTGGAGGTTCCAGACACTCTAGAAAGATTCATAGGAGCATGTAATAATGACGAAAATACCCCTGGAAACCACTGTGATGGTTCAAGTAGTTGTCAGCAAGGGCAGGGAAATCAAAGGTAATCTGAAATTCAATTACAATTTTAATTAATCTCTATTTAATTGGAATTGATTTTAATTTTTACATTTTGTGGTTGATTTTTGGATTAATGTATGATTTCACATATGTTGAGAATGTTGCACATGCTCATGTATGTGCTGAAAGAGCTCTAGCTTCAGATGGATATGCATGAAAGAGAGCTGCAGGAGAGGTAATTTAAATAAACATTTTCAATTTTACTTGAGACAATATATGGAGTTTTTATTATTTTTTAATTTTTTAGGCTTACTTTATAAAAAATATGAAACCAATAAAGTTTTGGGGGTTCATGTCACTTATTCTTGTAGGGCTTGGGTATGAAAGGTATATTCTTCATCATAGTTCTACAGTGCAAATGCCATTAGGAATGACAATGGCTGCAGAAAAGAGGCGCAGGTTAATTGAAGCAGTTTCTGATGTTGCTGATCAGCTTGCTGAAGTATTCCTCAATGATGAACCTATATCAGCTTCTGATCTTGAGGTATACTTACACTTTTGATATAAGATTCTTCTTCTTTCCACCTGATTTTCCCTTTCTAGGTCAACTTTCTGTCATTGGGCTCATATGTTATTAAAACCCAGCCTAAGTTTGCCAATTCCAGCTGCTATTTACAATTTTGCCCTTGAAAATGTTTACTAGACGTAATGTTCCTCCATTAAATAAATTGTTTTACATCTTTCCTGGGTAACTTTTTGATGGCCCTTACAGCTTTTGGGCAGGTTTTTTTGATGATTATTCTCTTGAAGCTCAATGGAAAATGCTAGGTAAAACTTTACATAATTACTCCTATGTCGCCTCTAATATGAATTAATGGTTGTAGCAGCAGTAATCTATTAACCCAGTACTTACCTTGCAAACCTGAACCTCAAGCCATGGTTTTATATCAATAATATTAGACGCAAATAAAACCAAACAGAAAAAAGATCAATCTGCCCTTTATTGTTAAAAAACACCAGTTCCTGATTACAAAAAGGTTGACTTCTCATACTAAAAGAGCCTCTACAACTTTTACAAGTTAGCAATATCAGTGAATTAGAGTTAGTAGTAATCTTTTGTTTTGTTTTGAAGCAAATAACACACCATAGAGGTTAGATGTATGATGATGTGGATGTATTTGTATTTTGATTTTTTTCAATATTTAAAAAATATCTTAGAAAAGTTTGATTTTTGTTTCAGCATCCACCTGTTTCTACTTTAGGAGAAAGCAAGGAGTTAGGTGTAGAAAAGAGTTTGGGCAATTAAAAGCAAAGAGGTAATATGATTCATCATCAAATGTAAGTTCTTTTCTTTTGTGTTTCATTTGTTTTATAACCATCATGTTGTATGAGTTTGTAAGTAAGTGCTCCATATGTTTACTTGAATGAGATGCTTCATTTAATCCCTTTTCATAATATGTATATTCTTATTACGCATATTTTGTTTTACTATAACAATGGATATTGTTTCAGGGAAAACATAGCTTGAGAAACGAAACAGGTAATCAGAACTTTTATTTGCTTATATTTTGGTTCTTAATAGTTATAATATGTGATTTAAAACTCAAAAAAGACAATCTTCTTTTCATAAGGTCAACCATCTTGGAGTTTTTAAGCCGATACTTTCCTTCATTCATTCTTTAAATGCTTTCAAAGTTATGGGTGCTAGGAAAGGTATAGCTAATGAAAACAAAAATTTATTGGAGGTGCATATTATTGATGGTCTAATTGTTCTTTTTTTTTTGCCGCTAATTCACACATACCTACAACGAGACTTCATTGCTCTCTGATGATTGATATTTTTCGTATTGAACTCTGTTTGCAGCTTGAAGTGTCAATCATATTCCAAAGCTTATGGTTTCTGGATCATGGTTTAAGGCATTTACAACTTCACAACTTGATCAGTTAACTATAAAAGCTACAATGAATAGTGGAATGGAATGAACCATCCCATTCCATTGTCATGTTTACTTGGCTGAAAATAAGAATGAATTTTCATTTGTTTGTGTATTAACATATACCATCCTACTTTTATTTCCTTACATTCACTTAAATGAGTTATGATGGCTCCGCCTCTTGCAAACAGTCGAACACAAATCCAACCCTCTAGTTAAAAGAAAAAAACACACCTGCAAAATGTGGTGTCTTTAGGGTTGATGGACACAAATTGTTGATTGTATACTAACATTTTATAAAATATGTCTTTTAATAAATGAAAGATACCAATTTTGGTTTTTCTTTTAAATATAATATTTTCATCTTGTAAACTCTTATACACATAAACGTACACTTTCAAGTTTTTCTAGTAAACATAAATAGTTTAAAAAAATTATTTAACTAAACATATTTATTTAATTATTAATTAATAATCATCATATTATCAATGATATGTCCTTTAATTACCTAGAATAAAAGCTTAGTTTTATTTGTTTTCTGTAAATATTGATAATATAATTTTTTTTTATATATTTATAGCTTCTATTGCAGCTTATATTGAAAAAATATATTTTTTTATCATTAGAAAAAGAATACTAACGATAAATAAGTAAGTAAATGAGTGATAGTTGATAATGTGGAGGGAAAGTGAGAGTACAAAAAGACAGTGGCCTAAAAATAAAATATATACATTTTTTAGTATAATAGCTTTTATTGAGAAAAAAACACTTTAAAAATTGATTTAAAAAATATCATTTAATTTATATTGAACGTGTTAAAAAATAAAAAATGATTAAAAATTAGTGTTATTGAAATAAATAATATTTAAAAAACAATAGTAATAAAATAGTATTAAAAAAGAAAATAAAAAATAATTATTGATTATACCATTTGAGTAGGTTTTCTTTTTTCCGGAAAAAATACTAGCATTAATACTTAAAAAAATTATACTTAAAAAGAAGTTGACTTTGACTAGAGGCTTTTTTTTTCTCGGAAAAAAATATAATATTAATATCTAAAAAGAAGTTTACTTTGACTAAAAATATCCATAACATGTCTATATAGCAATATAGCATCACCCTATTTTATATGGATTTGTCTTAGTAATACTTAACTCTAAACAACTAATATTTACTTTTATAAAACATAACAAGATTGATTTGATATTACTTATTTCATATAGGTTTTGCTTATCCATATATTATTTAAGATCATCTCATATGAATTGTATGAGTGATAATGTGGAGTGATATATGATGCTATAAAGTGGGAGAAGATGAGATGGATTTGTATGAGAATAAACTCATCTCTAAGTATGTCTTTTTTCATATTTGGTCACCATTTTTTTTTCATCCCTAAACATTCAATTTTGTTTCAATAAAGTCCTTATTCGAGTATTGAAGCAGTTAGCCGCCATAACCAATAGAGGTACAATCAATATATGAGTTAATTTTTTTTACCGCAAACTTTATTTCCTTTCGCGAGGTTGTTCGAAAACCAGAAAAAGGGGCTAGTTAGCTAGTAGGGTTCAAACTCACAATTTACAGCATAAAGACAATAAATACACTTTAACATGTTGAGCTATATCCCTTCACAAATAAAAACTTATGACTGAAAAGTAATATCTTTTGTGAAGTTATATGTGTTGGAAAAAAAAATACATCCACCAATTAGCGAGTTAGATGGTTATTTTATGATATTTAAAAAAAATGTTTGAATAATATACTCTCTCAAAACATATCAAACCATTGTTGAACACTGAAGGCCTGTGGGAGTGGTATATAAAGAAATTCCAGGAAAACCTTCAGTAGTTAGTAGCGGGAAACGGAAATGGCATTAAGCAATTCGCAGAAGGAGCTTCTAAACCTAATCCGCGATGTCTCTACAGAAAAATCTCAAGGAGGTATGCAGTTCAATCAACATCTCGTAAAAAATTACCATCGTTTTTGTTTTCATCGACTCGTGTAATTTCAAAAAACTAATCCGACCTTGCAAATCGACAGAGCGTAAGATAGTAAACCTGAAGCGGGAGATTCAACAGCTCCAATCGGAACTTGACTCTGTGAATTTGGAGCTTGAAGAAGCCAAGCACTTGAAAGAATGTACTGAACAAGAGCTAAAAGGCTACGAAGTTGAATTGGCCATGAGTGAATCCTCAATCCAAGCTTTAGAGGTTTAACATTTCTGTATGATTATCTGTCGATCTATTTTCCAATCTCTGAACACACGTAAATCACAGGACGACAGAACCTCGTTGATGAAATTTAAATTACATGTAGATAATAACGATTTGTCGATACGTAACTAATAAATCTGAAACACTGCAATTTGAGAATCGGCCATGAGTGAACCTTTAATCCAACCTCTAGATCTCTCATGTTTAGCTTAAATACCTGTGTTGATTGAAACTTCTGAGTTACAAGCGTTTGGATGTTTTCAGGGACGGATTTCTTTGATACAGGATGAAATATGTACAGTTGGATCTGATTTGGAGGCACTTAAGGTGTTTGATTACACTCGTTTAACTGCTTTCTGTTTTCTACTTCATTCTCATGCTGATTAATGCTTGTATTTTGAATTAATCGACCTATTCGTTCTCAAAACTGTGTGGAATCAACTTTCAGAATGAAGAAAGGGCTTTGCGGTAGGTTTCCATTGTTATTCCCATCATTTAATTTTCCATTGTTTTTTCATTGCATCTCATTTCTTCACTTGTTATGCTTATTCTTGTAGAGATGACTTCATTGGCAAAATGTTTGACCTTAATGCAAAGATTAGGTATGTGAAATCACTTCATTGGATCATGATCTCCTATGAAACCAGCTACACAAATGCATATATGATATATTCATCAACTTGCTTCATTTCTAATTTGATGCAGAAAGTTCCAGCAGTCTGTGGATTCTGCCACTATTGAAGCATTTAACAGTGACACAATCTCACAAGATGGTTTGATTGAGATCTTCAAATACACATCTTATTGTCCAATGTTACCTAAATATCTAATGAAGACAGTGCTTCCTAACTAATATATATATTTTTTGGCCAAAGTGGACATGGTATATGCTAATACAAAAGAAACTGAAGAAGCCAAAAGAGATCTTGAAGATAAGCTTGCTCAAATAATCTCTGAAACCAACATTGAGGAAGACAAATTTCAATCAGAACAAATTCTTTATATACAGGTGATAATTTTAATTACTAACTAGCTGCAAATTCATTGCATTTCTTACATGTCTTGTCATTAACAAACATAAATTCTTGGATATATGTGCACAATATACATTATTGGTGCCACATAGGCGAATGCTAATTAACTTAATTTGTTTTATCATTCATTCATAGGAGAAAAAAGAGCTTGAGGATTTGAAGCATAGAATATCTTTGATGGAAGCAGTAATGAAAGCAAGCAAAGAGCTTCAAGAATTAACCATATATCCTCACTACAATCTTCATTTTTCTAACTGGAACTGTTTTCGATGGAAAAGACGAGAATGCCCTTTTGTCCATCTTTGTGTTTTTCCTTGACTGGAAGTACGCAGACATCTAGATTGGAAGAAGCATACGCTTCTTTTGGTGGGAAGCTGCAGGAGAAATGCATATGTCCCAACTGCCATTGTGACAATGCAGAAATGTTGAGTGGAATTCTTTAGAAAAGTGAGGGAATCTAATTTTTAGTAAGTTCTCGCAAAAACTAGCAACTCACTTTTACTTTTTTTTTTTTTTTTTTTACCAATATATGCAAAATACTGTATTTGTTTTTGCAGGTGATGTGTTTGTTTCTTTAGATTTAAAAAGAACGCAATGTAAGTAAACATGATAAAGAAAATATAAAATGCAACCGAACTAGGCCTTTTGAAACTTATTATTTGCATGAGGTTTGGATAAAAAGTAAAACAATTATTGATTATTTTGGAGTCAAATAGATATAGCGTTGTTTCAAATTTAATTTACATGATCTGTCTTTTTCATAAAAAAAAAAGCTTATTGACTTAAATAAACCGTTTTTGACAAAATTGTTTCGATCTAACTTATTTGAAAATAATTATAATTTATCTGAAAGTGTTTAATATACTTGAAACCCTAAAAAACCATATATTGTAATATCTTATTTCATAAACATAAGTTATAAGTTGTTTTAAATTAGCAATCCCAAATACCCCTAAAAAAACCAAATAATGCCATTTGGAATGTTGATCTAGACAATTTTTATGAGCCACGCAAAATAATTTACAGTCTAAAAATCTGATGTGATTTTTGAAGGTGAAAGTATATTGTTTTATAAGTATAAAGATTATCAAAAAAATTGCATTTATATCTAAAAAGGCTTATAACAATTTAGATGGAAATTACGCATGTATCACGACAAATACAATGAAGAAAAGCTTCCAACCTATGCCAACCTTTATTTAATTTTAAATTTTAAATTACAAGTTTTAAAATCTAAAGATCACCTTTTTTATGCGAAAGATTGCCCAAATCAAATTCTAAATGTAATTAATTTTATATTTATAAAGTGCTATAAGTTTCTTTTATTACAGTTTCTTTTGGCAACCATTTTTTTTTTCGCTAATGATGGTGGCATGGTATGCAATATTTGACCTGTTATTCGGTTAATCATTTTTTTTTCGTTTTAGAAATTTTTATTTATATTACAAGTTAAATAATCAATATTGTCTTTAAATCAAATTTTCAACAGAAACGTAACCCTCACCCTAACTAGCACGTCATCTTCCGTTCCATTTTTCTTTTTGTAAATTCCGATCGATACTATAAACCCCACCACATAATGAAAATTCAAAAAGATCAAAGAAAGAGATCTGAGAATGGGAGAAATTCTGATCAAGATTATAAAGAGACTCATCTTGATACTAATAAGGACATGAGTCGTATTAAAAAACGAGAATCTGAAGATTTTGGAGGTGATAAAGATGCCCTAAAAAGGGAGTGAACTCTTTTTATATGTATATATTTTGATTAATCAAGACATTCTGGTATTTAATTATTTATTTATTTACAGATAATTACAGTGAAGTATTTAGTTTCTGTGAAAAAGTGAAGGATGGGTTACGTAATCACGATGATTATCAAGCATTTTTGAAGTGTCTTCATATCTATATCACTGATATAATTACAAGAAAGGAATTACAAATCTTGGTACTTAAATGTTAAGTAACATATGCTTTTTATTTAATATTTTAAATATTGGAATTAACTCAATTTAATATTTGTAACTTTTTTCTTTATTTCTTTCAGGTTTCTGATCTACTTGGAAAGCATCCGGATCTTATGGAAGGTTTCAGAACAATGGAACAAGGCCTTTTTAAACTTATTAGTAATTTGTAAGTTCTCATTAGGTTTAGATAAAACGTAAAACAATTATGATTATCTTGGACTCAAATAGATAGCCTTATGTTAAACTTACAAGATGTTTGTTTGTGTCTCGTTTTCATTAAAAAAGTGCTTAGTTTTTGATAATTTTTCTTCATTCTAACTTATTTGAAAGTAATTACTATAATTTATCCAAAGTGTTTGTTTATTATACTTGGAAACCAATTTACCTCTTTACCACTCTTTTAATTCTGATAATTTATGTTCAATCTAAAAAATCATATACCAATTTACCCCTGTTTTGTTGTTATTTCAATATATAAACAAACATTTGTTAGACAATAAAAACAACTTATCAATTATAGTGTTGGTATTGTATATTTTTATTTTTCAAAAACTTTTTTTTTTATACCGCATAAACTAAAAAAATATCTTTATAAATAAACGTAAGTTTTGTTAAATGAACAATATCAAACGTCCCAAAAACCAAATAATGTTGTTATATTGTATTGTATTATATTATTTCAATATATATTTTTTTTATATGCCACTTAAAATAATTTAGATCTTAGAGTCTAAAAATCTTATATGATTTTTGAAGGTGAAAGAATATTGTTTTATAAAAGTATAAAGAATAAAGAATTAAAGATTGTTGAAAATTTGCATTTATAGCAATTTAGATAGAAACTACGTATGTATCACGACAAATACAATGTAGAAAAATCTTCCAATCTATGCCACCTAGGATTGACCTGAAGGTGTCCCGAGAGGTTCTGTACAACTACTTAATTTTTTTCGTATTAGTGTAAAAAAAAATTATTAATGTGCAGTGCATTATATATGTTTATATTCCTATTTCATGACTTATAATCACAAAAGGCTCCCTAGTCAGATGGTTAAGGTGCTAAGTACATGGGCAGTTGAAGTCGAAAGTAAAAAATCCACAACTTTTAACACTAAGATGAATATGTAAACACACTCTTTCTGCCTTTAAATGCATCGTTGAACTCCTCTTTGTAAGCTACTGAAGCATTTGCCATAAAAGTTTAAAATCCAAAGTTAGTTTGATTTGTTAACATCTAACAATAAATCTCATACTAACTCTTTGTTAAAGTGAAGATAATTAATTTAGAAGTGAATTTATTCTCAAGTAAACTTATAAAAAATAAATATATATCATTACTATATATAAAAACCTTATTTTGTGGTGTCTTGTAAATCAATATAACCCGCTTAATTTAATGCCACGTCACCCACTTCCCTGAACGGTGCCATCGACATTAACATCGATTCATATCGACTCATGTTCCGTATGCTGCATCCTCTATACATCCCGAAATTGTAGAGTCGTATGTTGTTTCCCTTTCCCGATGTATCGTTAACCCTTCTCCATTCGTCCATCGACTCTTCTTTCTCCATTAACAACTCCAGGGGTGTGTGTGTGTGTGTGTGTGTGTATATATATATATATATATATATATATATATATATATATATATATATAACCATGTTTTCACACATCATGATAACAATTGTTGAAACATGGGGGGTTTTATTATCTTCAAATTAAACTTCATAAACAAACAAATTAAGACTAAAATTTAAGAATTAAAGAGGCATTTCCAATTCCAAATCTCATTTGAGTACTATGTTGTAAGATGTAATGTGACTTCAATTTATGTTCAATCTAGGTTGGTAATTAAAATATTAACATGCTCTAATATCTCCAAATTGACAAAAATATTTTACTCAAAACATGATCTTTAAGTAAAACTTTATTTAGTTGATGAAATCCAAACAAGCTCTTAGATTAGATTACTAAAAGATTTAAAGTTCAAGCAATTAATACCAACAATATCAAACATTTCTAATAAACTCGGGAATATGAACAATCAGTCTTTGATTACACTAATTTTGATTCCATTGAAGCCAATTAAGTGCTTGTTACCAACATCAAATCATAAAATATATACGAATTTCACAATTTGACTAACAAGAGTAATATGAACCCTAATTTCATTGACAAGTGAAAAGAGTGCAAATCAAACATATAATGAAGAACAAATCAAAGATTACTAGATAGAAACATGAAATTAAGTTCACATCATAATCTAATAATTATTTAAGGATCTAAAACTGAAAATGGAAGGAAAAGTTAGTGATACATGGTTAAATCAAAGTACAAATTCAACAAGTTTAATCCTTAAACAAACTTACAAAATTAGAGAATTAATGTTTTCAAAGTGCTAAAGGATGAAAAGTATGTGAAAATCACCCCTTGCAAGTTCTTGGCCGAAGTTGCATTCAAAATGGTGAGAAAACCTCTTTTAATCAGAAGTTGGAATACACAAAAACTGTCAGACTCCATTCCATGGCCGCGGAATGGTAAGCCTAGAGATTTCACTCCTGTGGAATCGGTTTTAGGCTTGCTGAGAACTTCATTCCACGACCACGGAACGATCAGTGTTACCATTTCACAACCGTGGAATCTCCTGAGTAAACACCCAACTCAAAAAATCTTTTTTTCTTCAATCTTGCTCCGATTCTTCTGAAATTTCACGTAAAGCCTCCCTCGGACATCCTAAGCACGCTCCAATCTTCAAATCACCCTGAAACATCCACAAAAATAGTGAAAAGTAGATAGATCCTCTATTATGTCCCAAAAATGCAAAATGCATGTAAAATTACACAAAAATGAAATGCAATGCTATAAATAAACATGAAATAAACATATGAAAAGGTGCCATTTTTGCACCTAAAAAATCTCCCCAAGCTTGACCTTTTTCTTTTCCTCAAGAAAACAAAAATCAAATCAATTCGGGAAAGATAAAAGAAATGTAAATGCAAATTAGAAACAAAAAAAAAAAAGAATGCCTTAAGTTGTTCATCCCGACAACATAATCATGATTAAAGAGTTGTCAACCTATACCCCATATACATTCAACTGTACTGCATTCCAAATCAAGACAATAGAACACATGGAACACAAATATTTATTAAACACTCGGCTTAAATGCATAGAGGCGTAGTATAAGGCACCTCCTAGTAACTTTTACTGACAAGGCATGTGCATCTCAATCTATAGTGCGTACTCACTGAAGTACTCATCCACTCGTGTATGCACTCATTTCACAAGATATGCGAACTTACGTCTATCAAAGAGTCCACTCGTTTATTTAAGGTGGAGGGCACTCAGTCGTCGGTAAGGCATACCCCATTCTCCATAATCTTCTCTCCATGCTCTTCAACAGCTTGCGATTGCACAATCTTCATGTCATCTTCCAAATCCCGTTTCAATTCCAACAATCCATAATATGAGACATATCTATAAACCTTAACAAGGGCACCAAAGAAATATACAAAACTATATACAAACACCAAACATACAAAGAAAATAAAATAGAACCGTATAACACAATTGTTGGCTTCAAATCAACTAACAATCCTAAACGAGCCAACGAAATCAAAACTATACCGATGATACAATTTTCCTATGAAAATATCATCATGAAAAATCTGGAATGACTTGGTTTGGTTCTTTTTTTAATATATATATATATATATATATATATATATATATATATTACTAGAAACCAACATAAGAATGTACAATGACTCAAATTGAACATGTACAAAAATAAAAACTACCAAACTAAAAACTTTTTACAAAACTTATATACACTTCACAACAAATTGATTTTGAAGAACCAGTGGCGGATCCCGTCAAGGGCTAGGGGAGGCCATGCCCCCCTTGCTTTTTACTCTAGTTCATGTTTATATATTAAATAATTTATAAGTATTCAATGGAAGAAAAACCACCGTTGCGGAAACTTTAATGGAATAAGAAATGCCAAAAAATAAAAAATAGAAACTAGAATTTGTGAGGATACCTAAAATTCCTAAATTGAAGGAAAACTGATCCACCAAAATTTAAACTTCTAAACTTTTATGTATTTAATGACATAAAAAAGAAAGAAAATTAAAGTAAAATGTCTCAAACATAAAACTGAAACCTTCTGCACTTAAAAATCAATCGGTGGCACCTCTCTTCTCTGGTTTGAGTATCTTCCTGAGTCGTTGTCAGCCACCCATTCACCTATGCAGCCTTGCTTACTTGTAAGTCCGTACAATATTTCTTCCTATCCCTCTTGTTTTGTATCTTATTCCTTTTCTTATTAGAGCGCTTTACTGTTTCTTTTTTGCTTGATCTTTCATGATGTGGACATATGGTGTAATAAAGAAGGGCGTAGTACTATGTGATCTCTTGTATATCTCTAATCCTTTTCTATCAAAGATTTATGTCGCACACAATCACTACACAATACAAACTACACTAGTACAGGATATTAGCTTTATAGCTTTTGACTCTTTTTACTAGATGTCTATATTGATAAATGATTTTATATTTGTTATTGAATTGTTTATTTTATTTTTCCTAGACCGTCTGTGTTCTTTAATCATCGAGATAAAGAGATGTTTTCATGTTCTTTTTAATTTTTGTATTTATACTTGCTTTATTGATTAGTTGTCAAATAAGGGTTTAAGAAGACATAAATAATAACGTTGTTGCTAAAAATAGATTTTTGAATAAATAAAACAGTAAGGGGTTTTTTTTCAACAACAAAAGGCTCAACATAAACCTAGTTTGAAATTGTTAGTAAACTTATTCATAAACAAAAAATAATATAAGGTTTTTGAGATATATGTAATATTTATCAACTATATAAGCTTCTTGAAGTTTTGATTTCGGCCCCCATAGCATTAGCGTTTGTGTTCCGCCCCTCTGAAGAACTCTTTATATATATATATATATATATATATATATATATATATATATATATATATATATATATATATATATATAAAGGCATACAAACTTGTAAAGATTTGACTTTGGATTCCGCCTTTTGATGACTTCGCGATTTTCATAAACGAAAATTTGGTTCAAAATAGGCAACAAACTTCTAAATATTTACAACTATCAAACTTGATGGAAATAGCAACCAAATTTAGCAACTATCTTTTTGAAAATTGATTTGACTTCAAAAACACAAAGATAAATATTGAGAAAGTTGCATATATCCTAAATTTTTTTTGAACCAAGTGAAGAACATATATAAGAATTTAACAAAAAT